GAACAGCAAGAATTGCCAGACTGTGTCAGCTGCAAGACACAAATGAAACTCGTTGCGTTTTGTCCGCAATGTCAAGGACTGATCTGTGCTTCCTGCGTGAAACTCCACCAAACAATAACAGGGCTCAAAGACAACCATCAAGCAACAAAGTTCAGCGATTTCAAGAAAGAAAATATCAACAGTTATGTCAAAAATCGAATGCATTGTCAGAAAAGATATCATGATAACAATAAATTGGACTTTTACTGTACAACATGCAAAGAACGTATTTGCTGTGTTTGCAACGGCACGGAACACAAACTACACCACACAGTGACCGTCGAGGAAGCCGCAGAAGAAGTAAAAATGTTCATTATTCGCGATATGGATCGAGTTAATGAAGTAAAGGAAAACTACGAAAAAGAACTTAAAACGTCTAAGCAGAATATGACAAGAATTGAACAAGAAACTAACGCAGCAATAAAGGAAGTCACCGATGAAGTCGAGAAACACATCAAAGTCTTGAGAGAACATAAAGCAGCTGTGATTGAAACCCTGCAGACTAAACTTCAGCAACAGAAAACACAGAATGACGAAGAACAAAGAGAAATACGTGATGGAATCGAAAGACTTTCTGAATTCAACCTTCGAGGTCAGACATTGGTCGATGAAAATGTAGCACATTTCATTGTCAAAAGCCAGCATGATCTTTCTCAAAGATGTGAAACATTATTTTGTTGAAATGCAATCAATATTGGCCAGCAAACCGATTAAACGTAACGCAAGTGTACGGTACAAACACAACCAACAAGTCACGCAAGCCCTGCAAGATATTGGAAAGGTTGTGGAGAGCGTGACAGATCCGTCATTTTGCTCAATTGAAAGTCTAAATGACATCAGGTGCGGATTTGTCAATCGTTTTGAGATCGTGACTCGAAATTCCCAGAAACAACCTTGCGTGACTTGTCAAGAACGCATTGATGTTCAAATCCAAGATGGCGATGGCATTAATGTAGAGAAGGAAGTGAGTCAAAGTGATACTGGGAAATACACCGTGACGTACCGAGCAGAAAAAACATGTGATTACACAATCTATGTAAGAATTGGTGGACAAAAGATCAAGAACTCACCACAGACTGTGAAAACGCGTGATGTCAGAGACGAGTTGAAACCTGTGAAAACCTTTGGAGAGAAAGGAAGTGCAAGGGGACATTTAAATCGTCCCCAGTCACTAGCAGTAAGTGATAGAGGAGAGGTAGCCATTGCTGAGTATGCTAAGCATCGTATTGTAATATTCAGTACTGATGGGGAATATTTGCGACATTTTGGTGACAAAGGTGCAGGAGAAGGTCAACTTACCTATGTATGTTGTGTGATCTTTAATAATGACCGTTTACTTGTTACAGATAATGACTATGGCAACGGACGATTACAGGAGTTTGACTTGAATGGTACCTACTGTAGAACTATTTACAAACAGCTAGATGTTGAATTATCTGGAATGTGTTCAGCACATGAAAGCATTGCAGTTTGTTATAGAATCCAATACAGATCTCAGTCAGGAATAAAAGTATTCAATACACAATCTGGTGAAATAATGCAAGAAATTCCTTTTGTTAACAATAATAATGTACCTTGTTACATTACTCATGGCAACGGTAAATACTTTGTATCAAATACAAATAGACACTCTATCAGTGTTTATGATAATAGCGGTGGATTTCTCTACAAGTGTGGAGAGCTGGAAGGAAAAAGAGATGGACAGTTCAACGATCCATGTGGTCTTGCTGTCATAAGTGATGTAATCCTTGTTTGTGATGCTGATAACCACCATGTTCAGATGCTGAATCAAGACGGTCAGTTCATAAGGTCCTTTGGTGGCCGTGGTTCAGGTCTTGGTCAAATGAATTTCCCAGTAGATATCACTGTTGCACCAGATGGTCGAGTTTTTGTACTTGAATTTTCTAATAGCCGTGTTCATGTGTGGCGATAGAAATATTGTAAATAATAAATACTTTTCTACCGACTTAAGTTACTACACACAATTTCAAAAATGGCAAAGTAGATGAAGTTGATTTGAAAACATTATTGTATCAGCTAGAACAGTTTATCACTTTAAATCAATATTTTCGTCTTCCATTTGACATTTGTTTGTACAGTGCGTTTTTTTAATGTTTGCGTTCTTTGACCAATGTACTTGAAAATTACACAGGCAGCCCAAACAGTATACTTGCAAGCAGTATCTCTCTAACAGTATCTTGTTGATTAAGTAATGGTCCGAGTAAGGAAGCAGGCAAGCAAACGGCAATGGAATGCATGGATGTGCTAATTGTGTATTGTATAGTCCATCCATCTCATTGGTTAAAACATTAACATTTGACATAATTTTCAAAAGTAATCGCATTTTTTAACATTTTATTTAATATCGGATTCCGACTTTATAAAAGCCTTCCTTAGCTTTAGTATTAATAGAAATTCTATGTGGGGAACATAGCAAATTAGAATCATTTTTTGGCTATTGTATTGAGTGCTTATGATTGGACAAGAAATTACTTTGTTTCAAAACAGATTTTATTCACATTTATATTTTCAATGCCGTGATAGCAATATCTAGTTCACATTCGTTCCTGCATTTCCGAGCTCTGTTTACTGGTAGAATCAATCAAGGCAGTATGGAGTTAATGGCTATTACCCTCAAAGCCATATTTAATAATCAATCAAAACCTTTAATATTTAACCACAACTGAATAATAAGCTTAAATCACATTCGACCAGTAAAGGTGTGGGCAGAAAAAAGTAACCAAGAGGACCGGCAAGGGGAGGAGGAGGGCGTTTTGAACAGGCAGTAAGGTGTGCTGTGCCAAAATGAGACCGGACACTGTTGTAATGTATTATCACTGCTACGCCCTGATTCCTGCCTATGCGCAGTACTCTGATAAATTGTAAGATATGCTTATATGGATAGTAGAATTACTGGGACGTACCCTATTTGGTACAAAGTACAAAAATCTATTCAACAGTTAGCCCAATAGTGGATATGACTTAATCGTAAAAMTATGCACCACGTGATAAGACTAAYTGATAARCTATATAAGGCATAACCACACAATTCAGTTAAATTACTGCATACATGAAAGAGTTGTTTCGTTACCAATAGTCAATAAGTCACATTGACATGCAGCATATCAAATTAGAACAATAATGTAAGATACAAAGGCATTAAAAACATAAAAATCCTATTCGTTCCGAATATTTAATTTTATTTTAAAAATGTGTTACACATAGGGTGTGAAGACCAAGACATTCGAATGTGGGGAAGTTGCAATTGCCGCAGAACAATAGAAAGTTGCCTGCTTGTTGCGCGCATTGTTACTTAATTTGAAAGAAAGCAAATCGGAGAATATCTACAGTGTACWCRATTGCTGTTGTCTTTCAATACRAMGTTTTGTAACTAAATTTTTAGTTATGTCCTGAGTTACAGGAGTAGTTCGTCAAAATCAGAATGTGAAAACAACAAAAAAAACAGTCTATGAATAATGCATTATATAAACACCAAATTCTTCACTCTCAACAGCACCCTATCGTAACCCTAAACTTAGATATAAAGAAATGACTAGAACATTATTGCCTTTAGATATACTCTTGTTATTGTTCGGAATGTTGCTTTGATTACCAATAAGAACATTTTATCTGTAATTTCAACTATATCATGTTTAAAAAGGTAAAAAATAAAGGACGTTTCAGTGTATAGCTATTGTAGCTCACGACATTACCAAACCATGTTTCTTGCAAAACAAATAAAAAACAAACAAAAAACAAAAAACCATACAAACCCTACTCTTATCAGGAGGGGTGGGAGGGGGAATTTTCTTACTAGAATAAAGACACGGCACCGGTTAGAAATCAGGCCGCATAGTGACTGAATGAACGTAATCTGCTGGCAATGCAAATGTCGGTTTCTAATGAAACACCACAAGAGATTTATTAGTGATCACTGATAACAAGCAAAGATATATGACCAGCTGATATGAAAAAGCTGTACTACAAAGTGCTGTTATTAGGAAAACCAATAACCCTTTAACGTCCGCGATTTATTTTGTATTTTAGCTTGTTTTTGAGACTGATATTTCAAAAAATTAAAAGTACCCCATATATGGAGTTGTCAATCAAACTATTGTAGATTCATATTCTTATGAGTTTGTTTACATCAGCGACGCCCGGTGAATTTGAGACGGGTCGCTAAATTAGCCAGCACTCGCTCTCAAATTCGCCCAAAAACCGTTTTTGAGTGATTTTTCGAGTCATTTGCTGCCACAGAAGCCCCTAGGACTGCATTATAAAGCTCGACTAGGCGGCAGAGACACTCTTCTGGAAGAAATCAGAGGCGGGAAGTGATTTTTCGAAGACAATGTCGCTAATACGAAGTTATCTTTGAATTGCCGACGTTAGAGAAAGGTCGCCTCCCTAGTCGTTCTGTGGCAGATTTCAGAACCTACCAAGGTAAAATTGGCAAGTTTTAGCATCCAAATAATGCAATCGGTGCAATATTTTGCTTGTAGGTGCGAGTGGCTTGGCACTCACTCAAAACTATGAAAACAGGAATGTCGGTTGCTCCCTGTCGAGTTTGAACCAGACTCCCATGATGCACATCGGCCGCGCAATTGACAAATCTAGGTTTGCTGTGCTTGGTGTCGAAAAGGKGGCTGTGGCTAGATCTGCAGAGACTTCTACAAAACAAAAATGCAAAAGCACTAAAGACCTGGAATGGCCARTTTCAAAAAACGTAGAATTTCGATTTGCAAAAGATGATTTCGACTCTAAAACTGGAGAMGAAAAGACGYGATTCCCAGTCYTGTCGGTGTACCAAATAGTCGAAATCTGGGCATTCCTATTTTTCAGGGGTCCATTTTGCCCAAGTATCGCGCTTGTTGTGAAATCGTTTTAACTCTAAGATAGAGTTATATTACTAGCTGTTGTCATGGAGTACATTTGGTGGTCTACTTTTGCGATCTCGCAAACTTGTAATTTTTAGAAGTATCGGTTCCTTCAGGAACGATAATCCCTAAAGTAGACGTTAAAGGGTTAAATATGTACCAATTTTGCATTGATTGTTGTCAAAAGAAACAAAGACGTGATCTTATTTTAGTTATTATGGTTATGTATAGTCTATTTTTCAGTTATGGCAGGAGGGATGGCTTTTTTTCAAGTATGAGCTTGTCAGAATTTACAGTTTTGCATTTAAACTTTCGAAAAAGTTGCCCTTATCAGTCGAATATGTGGAATGAATTCGATGTAATCCTTCCACTCGTTAAGGTGACTGCACTTGAAAGTTCTTTAGTCATTGGTGTGTCTACAAGAGTACAATACACATCGAAAAGTGTTCTAAAATTGCAATTTTGAATATAAATCGGCGTGTTTAGTTGTAATGTTTAAATTGTTTATTAGTCATTCCATCTTCTCTGACAAATAGCGGGTTGCAGAAGAACCTGATGTGACTGGTCAGTAAGATTTGGTAATAATGTAAATGTATGATATAGATGAATCATATAATATATTTATTATCACACACAGCATTACACAACTGTGAATTTAAAATGTCGTCATTTATGGAGTAGGAACCAGGCACACTCCTGCACATCCAAGAAAAGCTCCACCACAGATTATTCCAACAGCGGCATAAATACAATTTATCCAGGCTGGAGGACACCAAGCAAGAGTAGAACATTGTGCGACTGAAATTACAAGAACCAATATTTTAAAGTTGCAGCTAGTATGTTGCGAGATAAAGAAATTGAGTCGTCTCTAGTCGATTGCAACTGGGATCTCCTTCAGTGCAGTGACAAAATGCAAAGTGTGCACGCGCCACTAACGCTTTTTTACATAAAAATTACAATGATTTGCGCGTGCTGTTTACAAGAATCTATAGTAATTAGACTTTATTATAATAAAGTTCTGTATAACGCGGGGATTTGAATTMTAAAGTTCCCCGAATGTTCGTCTAGCTCAGAATTCCAAGCTTCGAGGAAATGTCTTTGGTAGTAATAATGTTCCGTTACAACTAACTTTGAATTGCCGAAATCCATCTCATGGCCTTGTGTCATTAAAATGCTCAGCAATTTTTGATGATACAACGTTCTGGAATATGTTGTGTTCGACAGATAGAGCATACTGTGACT